ATATATATATATATAGATAGATAAATAGATAGATAGTTGATCTCCAGTGAGATAATATTTTTGTTATTTTTTATAAGTAAATAATGTTATCGAAAGCTTGTTAATTAAAACCTAAGCATATTCAGCACAAACACTATGTAAAATGCCTAATGACATCTAGATGCTAATTAACATCCACAGTGAGAGAGGGGGAGAGAGGGAGAGAGAGAGTGGGTGAGAGAGAAAGAGAGAAAAGAAAAGAAAAAGTATAAATGTTATATTTATACTTGATATATACGTTATGATAAAGAGAGAAAAATCACAAATATTATTAATTAATGAAGCATTTGATATTAAATAATGTTTATATATCTTTTCTCTATATCTAGTATTTACGTATTTGATTCCCGCTTGAGCAATTAAGATCATTCCACTGTATAATTTTAAACTCTCGTTACTACCCAATATTCGTGAAAATGGATGTTTATTTATAAGTTTTTCTTTTTAGGATATATAATAAGTTAAACTTAATATATCTATTTCAATGTATATTTTTGTATTCCTGTTTATTAACATACAGTTCTGAAAATTGACCGACGGATTGGTCAGACTGAAAAATTTATGAACCAATATAGTAACTATCCAAATCAAATAAAGCATAGAAACCAACATAAAAATCACTCAAGAACAGCAAAACTGATAATAAAAAGTTAAAAACGAACAATGAAACCGGTTTTTTTTTTTTTGAAAAGACTGTATAAAAAATGATTTAGATTGGGCAAATAAAAAAATACTTAATACAACATTACTTTGATTTTTTCTTTAAAAATGAAAAAAATAATTTAAAACATTTGCTATTTTCTTTTTTATTCCAGATGCAATTTGATCACTACTAGAAATATACCATTTACCCAAGAATTTTCATGCGAAAAAATATTTGTAGAAAATTATTGCAAAAATTATTGCAAATATAAATCTCCAATAAATTATTACAAATATTTTTATAATTTTAAATTTGCAGAAAATTCTTGCAAATTTTACTACAAAAATATTAATTATATGAATTTTTTGTTGCAAATAAAAATTTCTAAAAAAATTTGCAGGATTTTTTTTATTTTCCTACAAATTTTTGTTTTAAATATAAATTTGCAAGTAATTTGTTTTTTTGTGAGTAGTATTTCCTGCCAATTTTTTTATTTATGATTATTTTTATTAATTTAAAAATTGAAAATATTTTTGACTCCTCCGTAAACGTAAACACATTTCCATCTTCCTTCACTGTACTGATTGCATTCACCTTCGCAACATAGAAATGTTATTTTCAGCACTAAAACTGATAGGAAACAGATACTGGTTGGGATTTTCTTTAACAAATGTTTGTTTTAATAGCATTAGAATATTAAAAAAAATTATAAAAAATTACTTGCAATTTTTCCTAGGAAATTTACTTGTGAATTTGAAATTTTGCAGAAAATTTACCTACAAAATTTTAATTTTGCAGAAAATTTACTTGGGAAATTTTAATTTTGCAAGAAATTTACTTGCAAATTTTAATTTTCGTGGAAAATTTCTTGCAAAAATTTTGTGGATTTTAAGATTTGTAGAATATTTTTTGCAAATTTTTTAAGAATTTTTTTTCCACAAGAAAGTTTGCTGCCATTTTTTTTTTGCAAGAAAGTTTTCTATAGATTTTTTTTTAGTAAAAATCATAAGAATTTTTTTTGCGAATTTTGAAATTGGCAAGAAACAATTATCCACGAAGGTATTAGCTGCGAAAATAAATTTGTAGAAAAATTCGTAAAAAACTTATTTCCTACAAATTTTAATGAAAAATTCCTAGGAAAATCCTTAAGTAATAGAAAAAATTCTAGTAGTGGATATTCTTCATGAACATTGATGTGTATTATTGAAACTTAGATCTAAGTGTTATGATATATTTAATTTGAATTTTTGTGTATACTAATGCTGATAATTTATAAAATTTCATTTTATTTTTTAATATTATTTTATAAATAAAATTAGGATATTATTTTTATTATTATTCTACGTATTATTTAATTACTTATTTTATTAAATTAACCAGAAAAATTTAAATCACTATCTTAATCGATTAACAATAACAATAATAGATCTGAATTTAAAAACATTGGTTTAACATCAATTCATTTCTTTATATATTTTACTCTTCCTTTCTTTTTTAACAACGGAAAGCATATTAAGAGGGACATGCTAGAAAACAAATGATACAATCACATTCAAACTTTTAACTTTTGCTTTTTCTCATATAACTAATATATTTATATACATAAAAAAAAATTATAATCTACAACTTTCCATCGGAGTACGTCATCGTACAAAAGTATAGTCCAATAATTAAATTTCCATAATGGACTAATCACTTAACTAATTCATTGTTTAATATTAATCAGCATGGCCATCATTAATTCTATATATATAAATAACTTGTTAGTGGATAAAAGGTAATCACCAGTCATTACCCCATTGGCTTTACATTTCAAAGTGGAATTAAGGCAGCATATGCAAACGCAAATCCTAACTTCACATTTGCCAAAGACAAATTCATTAAAGAAGTACTAGCCAGTGGGTATGTGTATATATAATTATTTATACATATATAGAATAATTTTATTGTTTGAGATGATGCAATGTGTAGCGTAAGTGTGATGAAAGTGCCAGTTGGGGTTAGGGCACTCGGAGGGAGCGTGGAGAAATGGGGCATAGGGCACTTGAGTAGTTCAACTAAAAGGTGGTCCAAAAATGACCTCAGAGATGAGTTTATTTTTCTTTATAAAGTGTGAATTAATTAATGATATATTTCTACATATAAGAGAAATTATTTTTATTTCCTTCTAAAACATAGATAATTGAAATTAGTTTTGCCCCTCCAACACAGTCTTCACCGTAAACATAAATAGAGAAACAAAGTCTCATAATGAACTCAATTAATTATTAAATATGACGACTCTTGATAATTGGTAGAATGAGTTCATATACGTACATAAAGTTCTCATCAGTTAACCATATATCTATTTACATGAATGCCATCTTTTTTTTTTTTTTTTATAAAAAGTATTTAGATCAAGACAAGGTTTAACCTCATATAAGATTAAAGTTAATCACTATTTTTTTTTTAAAAAAAATTTCTAATAAAATTACAGATTCACATTAATGTGAAATGTTGACATCCATCTAGTTGTTTATATTTTAACTATATGTTATAAGTTTGAGCTCATTTCCATTAGATAACAAATTAACATATATTAATTGCTACGATCATGAGTTATTGAGTACTTATATACAATAACGTACTTACTTTCTCTGTTCCAACAACATATATGCATAATGTTTCTGACATATAATTTGAAATGAGAGAGAGAGAGACCTTCCAACAAAAAGGAAAATAATATGATTAACGTGACTGAATTTGTAAAAGTATTTATGATCATCATAATGCATGAGCCACTCACATACATGCGTGCATATTAATTTTCGTCAGTTCGAAGCTTGAGACATTGCTGATTTTTCCATTCGATACATGCATGTGTATTGTCCTAATTTCTGATTTGTCTGAAGAATACCGTAAAGCTTATACCATTCAAAATACAAAAGATAGTGGAAACTACATTCTTGTAAGGATGGACGTACAAAATGATGTATCCGCAAAAATACGTCATGACACCTATATTATTTATAATAACCTACAGTGATAGTAGCTACAAATTATCGTCTATAAAATGATACTGAGCATTTTATTATTTTCACCAGGGTAATAAAAATTCCATTTATTAGTTCTAAATTTTCATTATCAGCTGGATCAAATTTGTTTCAATAGAGGTGACAATTAAAATGACCATAATCATTAATTCTCCTTTTTAATTATTATGTGTATTTGATTCGCAATCATCACAAGAATCGTGTTATTCACTGTCTCTTTTCCATCAAGTACTCTTCTTAATCTCTTCTGTTCACGTTGCAAGCACTCTCCTGTCATGCTTGTTTTAATTTAGTACGCGTCCATATATCTTATCAGTAACATAATTATAAGATCGTCATATGCTTGAGTTCTTGTACTCTTTCAAACACTAGATTTTTTATGAAAAACAAATGTAAAGATCATGAAGACGGAGATGGGAGGGAACAAAGTTCGTAGATATTGCAATCCTAATTAAACAAACATAGAGAGAAATGCTAATTAATTATCAATAATGATCCTTCAGAACTAAAGAAGGAATAATTGGAAGCATAGAAAACGGATGTTTAGAAAAACTAAAATTACAGATTAATTAATGTTTTGACAACACTTATTAATAACTTATTGAGTTAACCTAATAATTAGATTAGAGACAGTACATAATGGATAAGATTTTTGAGTTGGGTAAATCATGAATGCTATATAGCATCGTGAGCAATCAGCCTTTTCATTATTACAGATTGACTGCTCACGATGTTATATCATCCATAAATTTTTTCCAAAAAGGATTGCTTGCTGCATTGCGCTTATATGTTAAAATCTTAAAATCCACTGCCGTATGCAGGTGTCCAGTAATCAGCTCCATTTTCATTTCCAACATGTTGGGTGCAAGACACAGGAACCAAGCACAACCCTCTACTCCTCAAGTCCTTTGGCTTATCTTTTGCATCCTGATCAATTATTAATTAACAAATAAATGATTAGATGGTAATTTATTTTTTAACCAAATGAAAAATGAATGTCACAAGGGTCAGTTCAGTTGATTGAGCAGATTGTGTATACTAAATTCAATTCTTGTGGAAAAAAAAAATATATTATCTTTGATATTAATTAATGCAAAGCCTGGATAGTTTTGCCTAGACATGCATGCATGTTCTGCACAATTATGCAACTAATGCTGATAATGATAATAATGATTAGGATGAGCCTTACAAGATATCCAAGATAATAATGAGTAAATGAAAGACATAATAATATACTAAACTCAGCGTGGTACACCTTTGCATAAAAAGAAAGAATACCTGGTTTGGAGCTCCCTTTCTTTTCAGGCCATTGTCATTCAACAGCTAGATGGAAATAAAAAGGGGGAAAAAAAGTATTAATAATTTCACTTCTCTCTCCAAGCTTTTTGACTTCAAATGAGAAATGCAGCCTCGCATTATACTTTTCAATAGCTTTAAAAAGATGTTATAAAAAGCTGAGAAGCCTTGTTATTTTTTTATGGCTTTTTCCCTGATTAAATATTGTCATAATTACAAAGAGACTCCTAATTTGATTGTAATGAATTGATGGATCCAATAAAGCATACCTGACCGGGGTCCTCAGGAAATACAGAATTTCTTTCTCCATGTACCTGTTGCTTAAAAAGAAAATAAAGAGAAGAGGAAACTTTCCCCTCAATTATATGGTATAGTAGGTATATTTTTGTCCTACTCAAATATATGTAGGTATGTCATATTTATGAGAGTTAACAAAGAAAGAGAAAGAGAGAGAGAAGGCTTTGGGAAGTGAGTACTTACAGACTGTGGATTCCTCATGTTTTTTGATCCATTGCCCAAGTAAGGAGAACTGAGTGCCTGAAGAAAAGAGAAAAGAAAAACTAAAGAATGTTATAGAGAGAAACTAACATTAATATCGGTGACACTTTAACTGCATGCTCTATCATATCTGACCAGTGATCACTAAATATTTTGCAGCGTATAAAATATGAGGGAGAAACATCACCTCAATTTGACTCTGAAGGAATCTTATGTATCCAATGGCTTCTAACAAGACAGAAGCCGTGTCAGTCTGCAAAAGTGAAACACACCACAACCACAACACCGGTCATCTGTCTCTTTTAAGGTTAAAAATGATAAATCAGAAAGAAAAAATTATAAACAGTAATCGGATATCATAAAAGAACGGAAAACAACTGTTCATGGGGTCTCCTTAAACAAACACTAAAACCAAACAAACACACAAGGCGCTTGTGAGTAATTATATATTTTGTATTTTGTGAGTGTTTTGTTGTGTTCGTAGTAATTGGAGTGGTTTGTTTATTACCTTTCCGAATGGGGAAACTAGCTGGTGAAGTGCTGTTATTCTATCACCTAGCTTCTCCTTTCTCACCTGATTAATTTAACAGATTTCATATTTATATATAGTTGTCAGTATACATGAATTCATATGTTTTTTCTCTCTTTCAACGATCATGCATATTTACCTGCAGAAACAGAAAGAATATTACAGTTTTAGAGAGTGAGACAATCAAGAAAGACAACACACAACAACCAAACACTCAGTAAATAGTGAAAGTGAGGCAGTAAATAAGAGAAGTCACCTTGAGAGGTGGTTGGCTTGAAGATGGCTGACTCTTAGTCTTCTTATAAACTCCACCACTGGCTGCGCTATTACACTAAAAGAGAAGAAGAGACAGATCATGAAAAATAGTTTTGAAGAAATAATAAATAATAATCTATGCATGTATAAATTAGGTGAAAGCCTAGATGAGAGAATAAAAGAAGGAATAATAATAATAATATTACCTCGGATGTGTGATCTGGTAGTTGGTTCTTCCTATAATCTGTCTTGTTATAAGTGAAATCCAATAAATTATTACTACTCAAGCTAGCAACACTAGACCTAGGGGAAGAAGAAACTGGCACCATGTTATGTGACCAAGGTGCTCCAGAAACCTGAAACTCCTGATCATGTCCATGGTGATGATATAAGTTTCCACTTTGGGAAACCTCTTGCTTTATTACATCAACCATAGGAGATATGGGGGATGGATTAAGCATATGTTCATCCCAGCCATCCAACTTTTTTGATTGAAAATGACTGAATGCAACTCTCTCTTCCTCTCCTGGCAAACCAGTGCTGCAAAACAAACAGAACCAAGAAATTTTTACATCGACAATAAAAGCAAAGTAGATGACTAAGGTAAAGTATTTAAGCTGGTTTGCAGAATATCAAACAGTATTTTAAAAAGAGGAAGCCAACACTGAAGGCATGCACAGATAAAAGAGAGAGAGGGTGCTTACAAGAGAAGTTGGCTCAATGACTGAGGGGGTTCTGGGTTTTGTGTGGAAGAATTAAAAGGAATTGAAGAAGATCCAAGCACGTACTGGGGAGGGATCAAAGATGGTGGATGCATAGTCCACCAGTTAGGGTTCCCAGCCATCATTTGCTGAACTATAGAAAAATCTTTGTAAGGAATTAATAATACTCTTGAAATGAAATATTTAATCTGCTTTCCCTTATACTTTCTTTTTCCTCTTTCACTACCTTTGTGATATTTCCTTGTATGAGCAACCAAACAAGGCTTTGGCTAAAGCTTAGAGTGTTGTGTTTTGCTTTCTTACTAGCTGTTGAAGAAACTTAAAGTTATGGGGTCTCAGTATTTTATAGAGTTGGGGTTGAGAAACTTTGCATATGTTACTTTTTCTTTCATTTATTCAGTATTCCTTTTTATTATAAAGTGGAACGCAAAAGCTGGTGGCCAGTGTTTTAAGGCTATAAATTAATGGTTGCTCAGACTCATTTCCTTAATTTGGGGGTTGCATTGCACCTTGGGATTGTTTTGGGGCTAGCTAGGGTTGAGGTAGGGCATAATAGTAGTGAGATCAATGTCAGATGCTTTATTTATTCCCTTCACCAATAATTCACTTTAACAAACAAACTACAGAATCTAAGAACCTTATTAAAATAACAAGACCAAACCACAAAATTAATTGCTACATTACACGCTCTTGCAATTACAAATACAAAAGGCCATGCCGTTGGTATAAATTTTTGTGCAACTGTTAGAAATCAGAAATGTTTAATAATGTAAATTATAACAATTATTTGAATGAAAGTAGATTCAGAAATTAGGTACTGTTATTTGACATCGGCGTTTTTAACTATTATTCTTCGTAACAAATATTTTTATGGTTCAATATTATATTCTTAATCTTCTTTTACCTCTTTCGATTTTTTTATTTATTTATAAAGTCAATACTTTGGTAAAATAAATTACTAATAATTAAAAATAATTTTGTACCACACTATAAATTATTTGTCATAAATAAAATATAATTTTTATGATAAAATATTTATTTATTATAAATTTTAATTATATAAAATACAAATTTACGATGTTACACATGTTAAAATACTATTCAAATATAATTAAAAATAAAATAAATAATTAATTGATAAAACACAATAAATTTTATTTATTTTTCTTTATTCGCAACTTCACGAAAACATATCCATGCCTTTTAGCATTTAATTTCAAGCCCAAATCATCAACATGTTGAAGATTCCAATCGGAGGACAAAACCATATACTAGAGGTTTTTTTAAAATTTAATTTAGCGATTTGATTTAATTTTTAAATTTATAAAACTATGTGATTTGGTATTGTTTTTGGATTAGAATATTAAACTACTATAAACTAAATTAAATCACATATATATATATATTCAAAATGCATGTATAAATAAAATTGTAAGCTATTAAAATGAGTTTTTTTCTCTAAATATATTTTATAATACTTAATTAAAATTTATTTTATAAATTCTAATTTATTAACTAAATTTTAGAATGGAAAGTTATGAATTATTTATAACGTTCAAAAATATTTATATATATATATAACTAACATATTTAATACGATAACTAAAATTATATTAAATAAATATTTTACTAAATAATATGATAAGAATTGATGTTAAATATATTAAATGACCGAAATTAACTCTTATATATTAAAAATAAATTATTATCTTGCGTGAGAGTATTTTTAGGGATTTTTTCTCAATGAGAAGATTTGTAAGAATTTTTTTAATGTCTTATCTAATTCAATTTTTATTTATCTTAATTATTAATGAATTAAATATTAATTTTAAAATTAATTATCAATAAATAAAAATAACTTTTTGTTATTATATAAATTATTTATTATAAATCTAAAATATAATTTATATATTTAAAAACATCTGTTTGTAAAAATTTTAAATAATTTTTTATTTCAAACATATTATATGTGTATATATGTAACACTAAATTTCGTGCTATTTGGATAGGTTTCTGGTGGGAAACCAAGTGAAGTTTTTGAGCTATCGTCCTTTCCCTTCTTAGGCACACAAGCTCTTTAGGGAGGGAGTTTGTCGTTGGAAGCTTGGTGGTAGAGCTTAAAATCTTGGAAGGTCATTGTTATGGTGTACTGTAGAAATTATTATTAATAGATTTTAGTGTTGCATGCATTAGGACTCTTGTTGAATGCTTACTAGTATGATTAAATTGGATTGGGTGTTGAAATTTGTGACAAACCTAGGGTTCTTGGTGAAGGATGGAAGAAATCCATGATTTGGTTGCAATGGGGTGATTGCATGTGGCTTTTTGTGTTATTTCTAAATTGTAGGATGATAAAAGATGTTAAGTTCTGAACTACATGACTGAGAAATTGGTATGGATGAAAGGATTCAAAGTGGCATCTAGTTTTTTTATTTCTTTTAAAGTTGTTATGTTCATTCATTAATATGAAAGTTTTTGGGCTTGCTCGCTTAAATTTCCCATGCAGGTCTCTCTAAGCAAGTAGGTGTGACCAATTCAAGAATGGTTTTTGACTTGTCTTGTTTAGAGCGAATTATGATCGCTTAGAGCGAGTTTGATGGCTTGGAGTGAGAATTTACTTTCACTCAGAGCGAGTAGAGGTGGAAGTTAAGGGATAGTCCCTAACTTTGCTCACTTAAGGCGAATTAGGGAGCACTTTGAGAAAATTTGGTCGCTCAGAGCAAGGGTGGTGTCACTTGGAGCGACTAGAGTGAGACTCCAAGAGTGCTCTCTATTTGGGCTCGCTCCAAGCAAGTTTCAAGGCACTTAAAGCGAAATTGCATCACTCAGAGCTAGGATTAAGGGCATTTGAAGTGTCTGGACCCTCCTTTGTTTTGTAATATGGATGTTATACAAAGTAAGAATGAAGGTTAATTTAATATCTTGTATGTTGATTGTACTTTGATTTAGGACAATGTATGATGATGATTTAATTATTAATGATTAGTTGTTGTATAAAGTATGAAGATTGTAGTTCTATGTATGTTGATTGGATATGACATATATAGATGTTTGTGTGGTGTTAGATGATGATGAACATATGTATGTTGTATACTTGTACAATGTTGTTAATATTTATATGCATTGATTGGATGTGATGTATATAGATGATGTATGATGAGGTCTACATGTAGAAAATGCAGTATGGCAATAAAGCATGTTGGTTAACTTAGTACTTGAGAAAAGAAAAATGTTTTGAAAACTAAAGATCCCACGTAGGAAATCTTGGAGTGGTGTTCGGATAGGCCACTATTGGAAACCCTTCTTAAGTAGGTGTATCTCTTGGAGTGAGTTTCGAGGTGTGTTGATGTCTATTCCAAGTCCTTAGTTACTGGTTAAGTAAGGTAGGAGATCGAGGACTACAACCCTTAACCAATTACCTAAAAAGGTTGCATGACTCTTTAAGAATAATCAGTGATTGAATTTCATTTGTAACTTGGTAATGAATGCTAAGGTCATGGTAAGCCTATACCTAGTTGTATTATTCCTAATGGTAGAATCGGACTTTCCTAGTGTAAGTGAGGAGATTCAAGAAACTAAAGGAGGGATTGTTATCCCATTTTGTTATGATCGAGTCGACGTTTCGAGTGTGAAAATGATTAGATTGGTTCAGTAGGGTGGAGTCACTTAGATTACTCATGTTGTTAGGAGATCTTCATAAGCGAATGTGTAACGACACATTAGTTGAGGTGTTTGCATATGATGTATGTTGTGCCGTTTTCATATGCATTGATGAAAATCTTAGTTGATATGGTGTGGATAAGATGTATGTTTGCTTTGAATTGTTTAACTTTCATGTATGTTTTGCTATGATGTTGTATGTTATAGAATTATTTTTTATACTTACATGTTTTCATACTTTAGCTTACCCTTATGTTTCCATTGTGATTTGGATTGTAATGATCATATGTTATATAAGAGCAAATCAGGGCAAGGCTTGAAGAGTGATTGTTGGTGGGTAATGTTACCTTTGGTTGGTGTTGATGCTACTAGATGTAGCTTGTATAGTTGTACTTGACCAACACTATGACATAAGATTATTTTGGAATTAATATATATGTGTATATAACTTGTTTATATCAATACAAATATTCTACTTCTATATTCATTTATATATATATATATATATATATATATATATATATATATATATATATATATATATATATATATATATATGTATGTATGTATGTATGTATATGAGACATATTCCCTCCTTTAATCTTGTATGTTTTAGTAATTTAGTTTTCACTACTAGAAATAGTGATTTTGTTTAATGTAATAGTCATGATGGATCGTTACAATATATATAATTCATTATAAATTTTAATTTTATATATAAAAAGAAATGTTTGTGCTTTGCATGGACTAATATATTAATATTTTAGTATTTATATATATATTTTTTTCATATGATCTTAAATAAATAACATAATATTGCATATTTTTAGTTGATTTTTAAATAAAAAATTTTATAAACTACAAAAGTTGAACCAAACCAAAGCACAAAATATTAATTTAGTTTTATTTGAATTTCATAATTAATTCAAACTAAACCAAACTGAATCGTTCTTATCTTATTTTGTTTGGTTGACTTTTACAATATGTTTAAATGAGGAATTTGAATTGAGTTATTTATTTTTTTTTTTTGAAGAATTTCAAATTAATGTCTTGGGATGAAATACTTTGTTTGAATAAAGAATTTATAAATAATTTAAATTCCAAACATTTGTAAAATATTCTTAAAAGATTAGAATTTGAAATTCTCCCAAAAAAGTAAGAATATGAAATTCTTCACTTTTTTTTCTTTCTTAACTCAATTTTTATGTCTCTCTTATCTCTTAATTATTGAATATTTCAAGATTATTTTTTAAATTATTAAATATTTCTAATATTAATTTTCAAAACTATTAATTATTTAAAATTATATAATCAATTTTACTCATGGTGAAAATCAAATTATCATATTTAAACTAATTTTAAAATTTAAGAAATTTAAATTGACTTATCCAAATAAAACATTTAAAGAATGATGAAAATTGAAATTAAAGTAATTCAAATTTCAAGAATTTTAAATTCCTTGAATTTTTAAAATTCTTCATACAAACACACCATTAAAGAATTTTATAAATGTTTGAATTTTAACTTCTTTGTAAATTCTTCATCCAAACAAGGTATTCCACTCTAAAATATTTAAAATTCTTTGAAAAAGAATACTCCATTAAAATTACTCATTCAAACATACTCTAAAATTCCTGAAGGAATTCTTGAAGGGATTAACCTATATAGGTTCGGATCATTAAGTGTAAGTCATTTTTCTCTTCTATCTAGGTTTTATAGGTTTGTAC